GCACCGGCAATCTTCAGCAAGAAAGGATCTCAACATCCTCGTCCAGAAACCGCACGAAAGTGACCTTTGCTCGTTCAAACAACTCTATTGGTACGGTGGTTCATTACAAGAGTGACGAACAGGTTAAAATGTAGACGAGGTCAAACGGCTGGAGCCGGTCTAGGAGTGGGGTTGTAACCACTGATAAGCCTACGTACGTGGTTGCTGGGGGCAACGTTCATGAATATAGATCTTGCAAATTTAACATCAAATGCTTCCGCTCCTTCACCCAGTACCATTGGCCACGACTTTGACATGCACGCCATTTGGCTCAAAGGGTCGAGCTCTCTCTCTCGTTCCCCTCTCCCATCCATTACAAACAGAGGTTATGCCAAGAAAAGCGGAGGTAGCACTGGATGCAGGACTGCTGAAGATTTCTTCTTGCCCTCCTTACCCGTAGCACGTGTGCGTTTATTCCAGCCCTTTAAGTGCAGAATATGAACCGTTTCGACACTGCAGAGCTAATTATCTCACTAGATTAAACAGGATTCCTTGCCCAAAAATTCATGAGTGTTGTGCAGGACTATACTTGGGTGGGACTGTTATCTATGGAAAAAACATTGACGTCAAATCCGAGAATCCATTTTAAATCAAAAGGAGCTAATAAATGGTTGCCTGTGCGGGCTTTTAGACTATTCTAGTATCTTCATATTATGAGCTAATACGACGGATAGGTTTCATGCAACTGAATCTTAGACAGAGATTGCAAGAAGTCTTTTTCGGTGAGTATATGTTCTGTATGGACAATAGTTGGTTTTTGATTGCCCGCCACTGTATGTTGCACCCATGGGACATTTCGCAAAGTAGTGGCCAAACTTAGTGCTCTATGTATAATTTGAGTTATATAATAGAATCAAGATCGTTAGAAGTAAATTTTATTGAAACTGAGCATCGTAAGGCGCAAATTCGTTCAGCTTTCAAATATTAAAACCAAAGCGGAGCACTGCAACTCCTCCTTAGTTGTCCACTCGAAGGAAGGATGTGTACAATCGAGTCTTGTGGGCCCAAAATAATCCTCCGAAAGCCAGATAATGCCTGAGATCGAATGCAATATTATAAGTGGTGGGTTCAGGAGCAATCAAATTCAAAAGTGCCCACTTTTCCAATAGGAGAATCGCTGCACGACTGAAGAAATATCAATCCAACGTTTCTTCAATAGTGCTTTTTTCAGCGGAATAATGAGTAACCGATAGGCCTAAAACTGATAATGTGCAAGAGAACGAATCTGAAAGGAAAGGCGCACGAATAAGAAAGAGACAGTTGTGATTTCTGCTGCACACCAAGTCTGAGCTATGATTTAAACAAGTACGCGCAAAAGAGATTGGTCAGGCCTGAAGAGTGTTTAAAAGTGTACTATTAGGCTAGCATAGCTATGACGAAGGATTGAAGTAAATAATGCCTTAACAATAAAACCAGCGCCTATATTTTACTTAATTGTATAGGTAGGAGCATGTAAAATCGTACTTTTCGTAGAAAGACCTGAGCCCCCGGAATATGCTGTCCCGATCCTGGACTCCGAAGGGATGTTCTCTTATCTTATGATCACGTTCTCATGTACAGGAAGAGTAAAGACGAAATTAGGTTTTTCAAGTATGGCATCGGCAATGCACCGTCAGACAGATCCCAGTAAGTGCACTATATGACCTAACTCACCAAATGTAATGATGGGACTTGAGATGATCATAGTGGGACACCTGGAACGCTGGACATTTTACTTATTCGCATGGCACATCCCGGAAGAAATATTTTCTAATACAATGTGAAATGATCATTTTAACGAAAGCATCTAAAACTTCGAGAGGAAATCAACTTCATCCTATTTCCAGGTAATTTCCTATGCTGATAACTGTCCCAGGCAAAGTTTGTTCTCTAATGCGTGTTCGTCTACGTGGGGGCAGTACTCCAAGTTGAAAACTTTCGCGAGCCTAATGTCTTCCACTTGGAACTCCATTTTTTGTAAACCGAGTGCAGCAGGATGGGGATAAAAAGTAAAAATTTGGAGAAAATAGCGCCGACTCGAAGGGAATTCTGAGTTCTTTCGTTTACGGTAAAAAACAAGAAATTTCGATTAGTTGAAGAACAAACATTCTAATTTTTAATGGATTAACTTTTGAAAAAATTAACTTACGTTGGCATTTGTTACACACTGCTATATTAAGTGGCCTATTAGGCAATGTCCTCCAACTGATACTAAGCATATTCATTTCCTACCTGTGGACATTCTCTATATGAGAGCGCGCGGATTTCATGTATTCTGCGTCTACCAATATGAACCAAGCGGCCATTTGCATGAAAAGCAACGTCCAATAACTCACTTCTTCGCAGCTACCTTCAATAATTATATTATTTTCACGATTTCGATGGACGCAAAATATTAAAATTATCTTCTAATGAAGACTATAAAGAACACTGAAATCCGTGAAGTATCCCTGGAACTTCAAGGTCAGTCTGAAACTCAGCAGAATCTACCGTGCCCAAAAACACGCAGTAATTTTACTGATAAAAATTTGCTTGATAAACTTATGATCGTATCTGTTAATTCTGTACGAATTTATTAACCATTCGCCGGCCTATCAACTCCCTTTGCTTTAATGAATTGAATCTTAGACAATATAGAAACGGAACAATCACATCGAAATTCTCCCAACAAGCTGTCAAAACATGAAAAAAACTTTGCATCATAACTACGCACAGTTCAGTTTTCTTAAGGTTGGAGGTGGACAAACGCCTGTGAGCTCCCTTTTGCTTATACGGTGGCTAAAAAAGACATCTTCCAAACAGAGGAATTCCAAAAGCGGTCCTTTACATAATCGCAGACGAAAAGTGATTGAAAATAGTAAACATACACAACTACTCACTTATTGGGAGTAGAGTAAGCACACGTCTACTTACTACGAGCATAGTACCTCAGCTTATTGGCGATACTAAATGACAAGAGCCAGTAGGTGGAACAAAAGAAAAAAGAGCAGACACTGAAAAAACTCCTTGAGCATTTTTCGGAAAGTATAGAATTTGGAATGCTTTTTAGGGGTTTTAAGGAGAAAAAACTGTCTTTCATCGGAGGAAAATATGTGTGAGATAGAATTGCCCTGCTAGTGAGAATATGAGAGGCAAGCCAAGTGGATCCCATCGCGGGCATCATCGGTATACTAAGGATCTCAAAAAGAAGGGGACCATAGAAGTTACGAGCTTATTGCCAAAATGCTGACTATGCGACCATGATACGCCCTGGCTGATTGCCAAGTCTGCCGACAATGTGCCAAAACAGAAGAACACGCCAGGATCTTCAACAGTCCATCGTGTACTCACATGAGGGAGAACTTTTAAAAGGCCGCATAGATTATGACCACAAGGTGGGGTAGGGGCGACGGTTGTCGCGATTATCACAGTTCGCAGAGGGAGAGAGAGAAAACAAGGCGAGGATCTTCACCTGAGTATAATAATGAGAAAGTTACTTGACGAAACAATCATAAATATATTACTACATCATATAACGCTAATGATTGGAGAATATTTACTGCAAATGCAAATAAAGAACAGTTTTTAAAAGTTGACATACTAATGCCGTTTTGCTTACCCTATTATCTGCATGGGCAAACATAAGGTACCTCTAAAATTGACTTTACATATTTGACACGAATTTTTGGTTTACGACGTTTCGCTTTTTATTATAAACTTGTTCTTCATAACCAAAGAAATAGAATCTTAAGTGTGTACTTTGTATTCAACAAAGGGTGGTTACTCATTATTGATGTCTCTCAGTTGATGCATTTGGAATGTTTTCAAGTTGCCTTTAGACTACTCTTTAATTTAGGTCTACTTTATGAGTCGGTTCACTCAAGCCCCG